TCTTCTAATTCGCTGACTGAGATTTTTCGGAAAATTGCAAATTGACAATAGATTTGAGTTGAGTGGTTTTGCATTTTGAATGCCAAGTTTTAAGTGAAGTGTTGGTTCCTTTCTTTGGCCTCTCGTTTTGCTACTGAGTGAAAACTGGTGAGCGGAAAGCCAATTGTTTTTTATATTGTCTCCTATTGCTAGAAACTGTGATTAATCAGATTTTCATATTAAAATTAATACTGTTATTGACAATTGAGTAAAAATGGTTATGCGCAAAGTTATGGAGGACTTTTAGCAACGTGCAGATAACCAATAGGAATATCGTGAGTTCAAACAAAAAAAGTATATTTGAGATATGGAACAAATACAAATTAAGTGTTTCTTAGTACCTTCTGGGTATCCAACGGTAGAACATGGAAACTCAATAGAAGCTGATTTTGAGCATTAATTTGATTGTTCAAACTTCTCTTTATCCCTGAATTCATTATGTTGTACTTGTATATCGAATATCTTCACAGTTTTGGCTTGGCAGCCACCAACTCAACAGATACCATCTAAGTACATAAAATTACATATTGAGAAGGGGAAGGGAAGGCCAAAGGAAGATCAATATTTGCCGATAGTCCATTGATCGACGTAGTACTATTTCCAAACCTCGATCACGCTATGCCAGGTGCGGAAGTATCGTAGATTTTCTTCTGAAATGTTTGAATACCCTCTCCACTAATTTCATGAGGTGGAAAGACGTCTTCTAGGGGCTAGGAAAGAGGAGATTTTATGAATTGTATGGATCCTTTCACTTCGTGTCAGCATATTAACAAAGACATCAGCGCGTTATTATCTGCTATCTACTAGGTTGAGGAGGTAGGATGCAAGTGCGCATTTTGCTAATGACTTTTTCTCTCCTGGGGTGCGCAATAGACTTACCTCCACGTGGTGCACCCTGGGCAACGTATACTTATACCGCAAAAAAGTCTATCAAACCGGCAGTTGACTCTGACTTCAAATTACTATGGCCCGACTAGTTGTCATATTCGACCCATTTCACAGTACTCATCTTACCTTTTTTATGCCGTTGTGTCTGTCTCTTTTACTTCTATGAATCATTATTCTGTCTCCCATCCCGACTTTTCGTCACTTTAATGTTCCTCCTCCTCCTCTCTGTGAAGCCCCAAAGTCAGCTCCAGGGCTAATGATAACTATCAAAACGCCTGCCATTTGATATAAATAAACTTTTTCTATCCTAGCCACTTCTGTCGAATTTGATGATGGGATTAAGTTTGGTTCAATTTTTGTGAAAGGAAGAAGATACTCACAATCGGAACCTTAGAAACCAACGTATATAACTTTTAACAAAATATTAAAAACAATTTTCAGGTCTTTTTCAAACTATAAAATAAAAACTGCTGCTTTGCCATGGTCTGAATTAAATGTTAAAATAACTCCAGAATTAAGAATTAGGATTTCGAAAGTGGACAGGCAATGCGGTTTTCTACCGCATATTTTCCACAGCGTGTTTACGTTAATGAAAACGCGATCCGTTCAATCACCAGGACTAAACACTAGTTGCCTATTTTTAGTCATTAAACCGCAGTTTCTACTAAGCCATGAACTGACGCGTGGTAATTATAAGGAGAAAGATGGTGATCTGGAGAGTGGTGTCCCCTTCCTCTCTCGTGCCTAGCAGAGCCATCACAGAACTTTTGATACCGCAATGTCCTCTCAGGTCATGGTAAACATATCATGCGATATCCCGTGCGTGTCATCCTTTAGATGACTAATTATTAGGGTCCTTTGGAGGTAAATTAAGTATCCTCTGCAAAACAAACATGTCACAATGTCCTCGTACCATAAAACCTGGTTGTGCCGAATTTGATGATTTTATAGATTTCACGTTACCCTCTGAATTAATTGCAACTACGCATAATATTTAAAATGTGGGCTTCTTTTAACTAATATGCATACAAGGAATCACTCTGAAATATATAATGAAAAGTTTAAGAAATATTATTATTATTATATCAAATGGCAGGCGTCTTGATGCTTATCATTAGCCCTTTAGTTGACTCCAGGCTTCACAGAGGAAGGTATATCAAATTGAAAAATGTCGAGGGGGGGGGGGGGAACAGAAGAGTGTTTCAAAGATGTAAAAGAGACAAACACAAAGGTAGGAAAAAGGTGAGGTAAGTACTGTAGAAGTAGTCGAATATGACATACAGTGAGGTGATGGTAGTTTGAAGTCAGAAGTCAACTGCCAGTTAATAGACTTTTCGCCGTATGAGTATACGTTGCCCAGGTGCACCGCGTGGAGGTAAGTCTATCGCACACCCCAATTTGTAAAATATTGATTTCTGTAATTCATTTTGTGATAGATTATTGATTCCTCTCCGCTATATTTTGAATTTGATTTACCGTTTACTCTGGCATCGACGCCGCAAAACTCTGCAATCAAGTATTTTTTTCAAATTTGCTCGTGAATTTGAATATTTATGTGGACAAATTAAACAAATGGCCTTTCTTATACATTCAATGGATTTTTTAGAGGATTTTGAGGAAAGAGGGTAAATGGGCAGTGAAAAAAACCAAAAAAACTGAGTCAGTAATTTGTGCGTCGGAATAAAGTAAGTTTGATTACAGTTAACATTGCTCATACTTCCACCAAGTTGTGAAACCATAGTGAAAACCGGTTAAATAGACACCTTTCTCCTACTTATCTTGAATAAACACGCCCATGATATAGAGCCGGTCATCAAGCCATGGTTACCACTGCGGTTATCGATAGTCTCTCCTACAGGTAGACTTGTGGGCTGTGGGGGTAAATGTTGGGGGGGGGGGGGGTAGGAAGTGAGGTGACGGACCACGCTGATGACAAAGTGCGTGGATGGCAGGCAGAAATTACTGTCTCATGTCCCTGACATGGAGTTTCTGTTAGTGCGGCTTCTAACACGACGCTATCCGGTTCGAACGTGTAAACATTCACTTCACGTGTTTCTAGCCACAGTGGGGTGCTGCTTTTCTCATTTGCATGGTATAGATGAAAGCACATTTAAGTAGCTGCATAGATAGTTGCGAGAATTCACATATTGACAACAATCGTTGTTTTTTTCTGTCTGAAATTGCTAATGAAGTTTTTGCAATGAAATTTTTGTGGATAGGTTATTCTTCTCTTTGTTTCATATTTTGGCCTAATCCCAACATTTTAATCGAATTCTAAAATTACGCATAACAAGTAAGGATACAATTTTTAATTAACGCCTTCCCTACTATAAAAATTCCTAAATTACTTTTAACTTTACTCATTTCAAACCAATCTCTCTAACTCAAGTTAATGAAAAACATCCCATGGCAAGTAATCAACTATTTACCTGAAATCCAATTTTCGTAGCACTTATGGAAATCCATTAACTTATGCCGAACTTTGAGGCAAATACAAAATTTCCTGGACATGATAAGAAGGTCAGGAATCCTTTGATGCAAATTTATTAATTTGTAAAAATTTGTCCTACATGAAGGAGGGGCCATGTATCGGGGTCAGTGAGTTGAGCCCAATCAAGCCATAAATGTGGGATACCGAGTTTGCAAAGATGACCGGGATTTGGAGGTTAGTTGGGAATTTTTTTTTGGGAATTTTGCTCAGGTCAATTCAAGTAATTCAGGAGTGAGTGTGTGCGTGGGGGGGAGGGAGGGAGGGGGGGGGGTGGAACGTTTAATTCCCATATAGTTGCAAATTGTGAGCATATGTGTATATGTGTAATGAGTGGACGAGAATTATTTCCTATCATCCCGTTTTAATTTTAATTCCATCCTCCTCCTTCGATGGCTATGCAGTCCAAGTAGTCTCCAATTAAGTGCTAATCGAGATATCCTGTCATTGACAGAAGTTTCTCGGCCAAGTACACAATAACTATGATTTGCAAAGATTTCAAAAGGCTAAAGATATAAAAGAAGCATTCAGGTTGAAAGAAAACTAGTTTTGGCTGTAAAATAAAATCTCTCTGCAAGTGTCTGGAAGTTGGTTTCTTCCCTATTTCATGATAGGTGCCAAGTCTTCAATAATTTTATACACACCATTGTCCTTAACTCCATCTCGTGTTTACCACTGTTTATCAAATTTTACGCATCATTGAATGCCCTTTCATTTTCCTTTAAGTTTTAGTAAGCAACAGTCATTCAGCTACCATTACGACCTTAGAAAGAAATGTAGATGTGATGTGGTGATGGTAAGGTGTTGGAGATAATGACATCAGCCAAGAATTTGAAATAGCCACCTTCATGCCCTCCCCCCCTGCGATTAAATAAATGACAGGAGAAGGGACATTGACGTCGTCATTTTCTTATTTACTACGTTCGTTCCATTGATATGATGCAGGGCGATAACATTTATTTTAACTGGACTCAGTGGACCGTTACAATGGTGACATTAACCACCTGAGACCCATATCATATCCACATCACATTTATCTGACAAATTCATTTACTTAGAACAAATAACGCTAATACTTCTAGTAATGAAATATTTTATTAACATTACGTCTCAGATTCTGGACACGAAGTACCTCGCTAACTAGATAAACCATCTCAAGACAAATTCAATCAGCATCCCATATGTTGGAACAGGAAATATTTCTTTCCAAAGTTTCAAGTTTAATTAAGAAATGGATGGTGTAGGATATTTTTCGTATCGACTTGCTTCATAGAGCAATAAAAACAGATATTAATGACTCAAAATAGCAATTAACGCGCCATTTTAAGAATGCTACACCGTCGATTCCTCGGAATGATCAAATAAGCAAAGACTATTATATATCTACACATTTATTTCAAAATAAGAAGTATTAAAATATAGAGACGTAGGGGCAATTCATCAAGCCAAAGGATTTGTTAACGTAAGTTTTGTAGCGTAGGTCGATTCCGATCATTCTTGACTCTCATTAAATCTGATTTTTTCCTTTGCAAAGGAAGTCATTTACCGTAGTTCAGCTGATGAAACTGCAGAGAAAATCGAGCACTCAATTAAGACAGCTGTTAAGTTCTTCAACCTCGACGTGATCAGGTTTACTAGAGCTGTCTGAGAGGGAGTAGTTGGCAGCAGAGTTAATCGTGTTCAGGTAATCAAGACTTTGTGAAGAAGAGAGGAAAACGTGGATGTTCTCCCGAGGGTTAACAGCTGGATGATTAACCTTAATATGTTTCAGTAAGTGGTCTTTTCGATAATAACCTTGCAGACAAATGCCACATTGGAATGGCTTAAAGCCTACATGCTTGAGGGCATGACGTTGGAGATTGGAACGTTGAGTGAAAGTGCGACTGCAGACATGGCAACGATAACTTCCATGGACTTGCATGGTGTGCTCTTCCAAGTTTTGGAGGGAAGGAAACTCAATGTTATTACATTGATTACAAGTGAAAAATTTTCTCCCCCCAGTGAATCTACGCTTAGGTGTTGAAGTCATCTTGCCATGGAACTCGAGATTTTCGTATGGGCTGTTTACTTTAGTTGCCAAGTCTTTTTTTAAAGGACTGACTGGAGAAGATTCAGTGGAAGTTACTGAGCCTCCACAAGACAGGTCAAGCGCTCCAGAGTCTACGCTCATAGAATCTTGCGAAGGCGAGGCTGCTGGTAGGATTCGAACAGGAATGTATGACTTGCGCTTGGAAGCTGATTGTGATGATGTATTGATTTTAATCGTGACAGGAGCACCGGAATCAACAGTGATTGTCAGTTTTCCTTGAATCATAATTTTTGAATTTTTGTCTAGCAGGTGATCTTGAATTGTTCTTCGGATGATTCTTTCAAGCTCTTTGCTTTCTGGTAACACGGCCTGTGTTTCTTCTTGTGGTTGTGGTAATTGCTGATGACATTGCTGCATCATTAGCAAGAACGTTCGTGCTATTGGGTTTGAGAGTAGATCTAACACTGGATTTTGGTCTGGCACTACCGGCAGCTGCTGGATGGGACCGTTAGATAAAGATGGAGATGTTCCACTTCTCACAGACATATCTTGAAGTTCGCAGATATTCGAGTTTTGCATGGTCTGAAGAAAAAGTAAAATAACACTTTCTTAAAGACTGATAAGGTGGCGGGAGAGAATATATTTATACTTACATAAAGTACGAAGCAACGTGACTTATGATTTGAGAATAAATATCTCTTTATTATATACCATTTCCTAAAAGCGCTTATCCCTTATTTGTCCAATCAAGGGAAGAAATTAAGTCGGTGGGAGGATTACATTGGCTCCTCGTGCCAAGGTTGGCAATACGAACGCACATTGCTGTGGAAAAATGGCCAATTAGTGCGCACGATTTTCTTGCATGCTGATTGGTTCCAAGTGCTAAAGTAATTTTGCATTCAGGTAGCAAATTTTTGGAAATATTTTCAATCTTTTATAGCTTTAGTAGGTTGTCTAGTTTCACTTTTAATTGAATTACTTTTGTAATCCTTATGGGGATGATATACGGCTGAGTTTAGAATTTTTCATTTACCTAAATTCGGTTTTCAAAAGGCTTTGAAGCAAAAATGGCTGAAATTTCATTTTAAATAATTGTATTTTGGAATTATTTGCTAATGAATAGTTTTAATTCATAAGTTTTTATGTATTTTTTAAAAGCTGGTCCAAACTACCTACTTCCTATTCAGTTTGAAAATAAAACACTGGCTCTATAAAGTAGCCCTATCTAATTTAGACTTAAATTTTATAATGCCCTAAATTACTTAATTGATTAATCATCAATTTTATTTCATTATGTTCTAGTCTTGGTGAATCAAAGTCTTTATTTCGGTTATTGTTTAAGAATTTTTTTCGAGTTTTTGTAATTTAACAAGTCTACACTTATCATCCTAATCAAATTTTGCAAATAAGCGTAAATTTTAGGACTTAGAAGATAAAACAAGAGCCGTAAGCTTTAGTAACTGTTGCAACAAAGAATGGAAAATAAATGGAATATCATTTAAGGAAATTGAATTTATTTGCAATGGCTGGGAGTAATGGTGATTTTATGAATTCCCTGATATGTTTTTTTCCGCAAGAATAGCATTGGGCAACTTTTTCTTGAAACGGCTGGCAAGAAAATTGAACCTCCAATAAGAAGGAGTAAATTTGACCCTACTTTCGAAAATCGAATCAACTTTTAGTAAGTGGGAAAAATTTCACCGAAACTTTTGTTATGAATTTTGTTTATAAATGGAAACACAATTTTGTTTTTTCACCCCTCCCCCCCCCCCCCCCCCCACTTTAAAATAATTAACCCCAAACAATAATATAGTGCTCTTTTACGTTCAATATTTAGATTGTGGGGTGTGCGTAGACTTACCACCACGTGGTGCACCCTGGGCAACGTATGCTCTTACCACAAAAATAGTCTATAAACCGGCTGTTAACTTTGACTTCAAACTACCATCACCCCCACTATATGTCATATTCGACTACTTTACAGTACTCACCTCACCTTTTTTTCTACCTTCGTCTTTGAAACACTCCTCTGTCTCAACCCCTCTCGAATTTCTTTCACTTTGATGTTTCTTCCCCTCTGTGAAGTCTGAAGTTAAGTGAAGGGCTAATGATAACTATCAAAACGCCTGCCATTTGATTTAAATAAATAAGTATTTTAATTGCTATTCGATGCTAACATAACTTCTTTCGTCTTCATTATCTTGTCTAAATAACTTACCTATTTGTCAGTGCTTAGGAGATAGGATTGATGTTATGGGGAAGACTGACACAATTCAACCCAAGATAGCTGTTGTGTAGTGCCTTCAGAAAGAACGCAATTTATTGGAAGAACTACCATATGATCACAAGACAATGGATAAATTAAAGTGGATTCAATGGATTAAATTCGTAAGTGGAGATGGTAGGAGGGCATATCGAATGAGTCCTTTTAATTATTCAACGATCAAGAAGTTACAGCAAAAGTTTTGAAGGAGATGCCTTTATAATGCCTCCTTCACTCTTTCATCTATGTCTATCGTAAATCTGGTACGGAGATATTTGAGAATGAATTAATAATATCAAACACAGTCTCCATAAAGTCGCACCTGTGTCCTGCAGGCCTCCACTTCTCCCTAAGTTTACTTTTTTGGAGTGGTGGAGAAGGAGGTGGGGGGGGGGGGTAGAGGGGAATTGGACCCATTCAGAGAGAAGCGAGGAGGGGGGGGGAGGGGGTTAGAATTGAAAGTACCTCATTTTTCATTAGAACGATTTTAAGCGAGTGCAGTAGGCTGCTTAATTCACTTGAATGAATTCCTGTTTAGTATAGAACAAGCTTTTGTGGGGTTTGAATAAGCCAAGGAAATTTTGAAGTAATGTGCTAAAGGCAAATATTTGGGCCATATTGAATTAAAATCATTTTATGGCTAAATTTCCTCGTATCATTAATGATTCCAGTAAGTAGTATATAAGTTTATTCAAATAGAATTGCTACCATTTGCAAAAGACAACGGTGAATCTGGTAAAATTCATTAGAAATGTTGAAACCTCTACCAGCACTTCCACTAAGGAGTCGTTCACAAATCGTAATTTACTAGAGTAAATACCTACCTAAATAAAATAAGGCTATGTTTGAAATATTTCTTGAGCTTGTTCATGAAGAGGTAAAACCATAACGTAGGTAAACCTTTTCAACTAAAACTAGCCATTCTGAATGAAGTAGATTTAGGGGAATGAACAAAAAATTCTGCTGATTATTTATTGAATCCTAAATAAGTAACTATTGAGTCAATTTTATTGACGTTAATAATCAATAGTCAACTTGAAATATCTACCACGCAAAGAAAATCAATCTTTTCAGGCACCTACTTGGCTTGCTCCAATGTGATTGAAGTTAATAAGTCAATGAAACCTCACGTGTTTGAACATTAGCTTTCAGGAGGATTCCAACAAATAACAGTCCATTTTACACATGCTTTCTGTAAGCCCATAGACTCAAGAAATGTAGATTATTATAACGCCGTCATAGTTTGCTGGTCCGCATACAAAGTGGGTGATATACATGAAGCAGAAGCCTACTTTTTTAATTATTTTATCTGTCAAGACGAGAAAAGAGAGGGGGGGGGGTAGATGGGACAAATTGTATAATCCGCGATTGAATGCACACGTAACTTTACCTCATTCTTCCACTCGTAGCAATTCAGAAGACATTAGATGGAATAATCAGCTGTGGGAATTTGAGCACTGGCCGTGCGCTTAACGCGAACTTCACACCTTCAACTTTAATCTGAGTCTTAAAAGTGAAAGGAATTGCAAAAAAAGTATTTTTTGTGTTCAACTTAGTGAAGCATTGCAATTACTTTCCCTCCCCCAAGATCACTATTTTATTGCACTTATCTACTTGATCTTTGAATAGAAATTAGTTATACTCTTAAATAGTTCATTTTAGTGACAAAAATGAATGTTATCACTCCTAAGTTGTGGATAAGGCGCGTGTTTTAGCATGTCCTACTAAAATGCCTATGTTATGGCATTCAGTGAACCAGGTTAAGCATGAATAAAATTGAAATTATTTTGAAAACCCATTTACCTTAACCTTTTGGTCAGCCAAACGTGTCAGTCAGTAGGATCCTAAAATTATGTATCTAATGCAAATGATATAAGTTAGTCTGTTTTTTAGAATTTCACCTATTATTTTTACATTAGGCACGTGCCAATGCATTTTTACATGAAATATAGTCCTGATTCCAGGGGTGTGCGATGGACTTACCTCCACGTGGTGCACCCTGGGCAGCGTATACTCATACGGCAAAAAAGCCTATTAATCGACAGTTGACTTCTGACTTCAAACTACCATCACCCTACTGTATGCCATATTCGGCCCCTTCCACAGTACTCATCTTATCTTTTATCTGCCTTTGTGTCTGTCTCTTTTACGTCTGTGAATCACTCTTCTGTTTCCCCTCTCGAATTTTTCCCACTTTAATGTTTCGCCCCTCTGTGAAGCCTGAAGTCAACTAAAGGCTATTGATAACTATCAGAACGCCTGCAATTTGAAATAACTAAATAGTCCTGATGCCAAACTTTGTATATATTTTGTGAGTTTAGGATATCCGATCAAATATGTGGATAAATTTCATCATTGGTCCGATGATTATCAGACCGAATGCTAAACGGCATGACAGCGAGGTTTCACGTCGGAATGTGCTCTCGGTATTAACTCAGTGGAGTAACGGATCCAAACAATTGTTAATTACATTGCCATCTGTAATTGTTAGTAGTATGTGGAAACATGGAAAAGGAACTCCCTTTTATTTCTCCTGATCAGACGCCTAAAGGGGTGATCATTTGTATAACAGGGTGCATTCTCAAGAGTTTAAGAAAATAGCATTCGAATTGAGTTTGCTTTGATAGCTGCAAGAGAGTAATGCAATTCATTATCAGTACAATCATGATGGTTTAAAAACTACTGATTGAGCAATTCCGATGGTTAATTGTTTATTAGGCCCTAATGGACTAAAGAACAATTTCTGCCATCAGCAAATTCCGTCAAAAAATATGCACGATAAGCTAATTCACTCCTTTCTGTGCAAATTACTGAGGAATCATCCCACTTGCTAAGACAAATGCGCACACATGAGTACACCCTGATGCTCATGTGGCGAGGAAAATTAGTGTCCCTCACACGCACCCCCCCCCCACCCCCTCTCCAAAATGTCTGCCACCTAGCGCCAACAGAGGGAACTCGACTCCAATTTGGAGTAGTTGCTATGCGGGGGAGGGGGAACGAGGAAAAAGCCTAACTAAACTCATTCCCATCCAGCAACAGAAGGTATGCCTGTGAGAGGTACTAATGAGAAACTTTTATAAGGGTGTGACAGGAAGATATAGATGCACATGACAGCCTGAATTCACAGTCGTCGTGGCTGTCCGAGTATAATTTAGGGACAAAGAAACTTGTGGGCAAATGCTTTCCAATCGGAACTCATGAATGAATATATATCAACTTGCTCGATGAATAAAATAATATTAACGTCAATACGATTAATTCCATAAAATCATGTCACTGGTTAATGGTATTAAATAGCTGCATATTTCCAGTT